TTTTGGCTTCAGAACCCCTTTTTGCTTATATGATTATCTCTCCCAATGTTTACTGTATTCGAAATTAAACATGAGAAAAATTTAAAGTATATATTAACTCATTTAAAGTAGCAATGATATAAGCACTACATTAAACCCATCAAATTAACATAAATAATATTTTTATTAAAAATAATTATATTTTCCAAAATGAAAATAATTTAGTAAGAAAGAAGAATGGTATTGTTTTACATTTTTATAAATCTCTTTAATGTATGGCTTACTGGGAAATAGCTGGATTCTCATTTTTTGGGGGGGTTTTTGGGTGAAGTATATAAGAACACAAGGTATATAAGAATGTCAGGCCTTACATAGATATGTAGTTGAAAATGGGAAGAGTACTTTAATAGCCTTATCAGGTAATTGTGAATATTTTTCTTTGATGCTACATGAAAATTCAGCAAGAAGTTATTTCCAGAGAGTCCACATGGAAAGGGGAGAAAACTTTAGGGCAAACAAAACCTAATAAATGCTATCTCAGACAAGTGTGACAAAGGTACATCAACAGTGATAAGTCATATTGACAGTATGAACCCTTGATATGACGTGATGAAACCAGCCCTTGACCCCTGTGATCTACTCCCCAAAGCCCATAATACCAGTCTAATCATGAGAACACCACCAGGCAAATCCCAGTTCAGAGACATTTTACAAAGATCTCACTAGTACACCTCAAAACTATTAGGTCATGAAAAATAAGAAAAATCTGCAAGAAACTGTCATTGCCAAGAGGACTGTAAGGAGACGTGATAACTAAAGGTTATATGCTATCCTAGATAGGATTCTGGAATAGAAAATGGAAATTAGGTCAAAATTAAGGATATCTGAATAAAGTGTGAACTTTAGTTAATAATAATGTATCAATATTGGCTCATTAATGATAACAAATGTACCATACTAATTAGGGAGTGTATGGCATCTCTCTGAATGATCTTCTCAAGTTTTCTATAAGCTCCAAACTATTCTAAAAAATAGGAGCTATTAAAAAAAAGTTCTTAACTTGACCAGAGGTCATTTTTTAAATGTTAGTTGCAGTGTGGAATCTTAAACAGTGTCATTATACTTTTTGCATTCTATTATATTAAAATCTGCTAGTCTTTCTTGCACTTTAAATGGGTCTTTTGTCATGAATGATTTTGTAAGAACATGCCTGGTTACTGGAAAATATTGGTTCAATGGAGTTATTATATCTTCCAAATGTTGACACATTTAATTATGCAATTATCAAAATACTGCATGTGTTAATATCACTATCAATCTCATCAGAAAAAATATTTAAGAATTGGGAAGCTGTCAAGCTCATGATGGCAGAAACAAGTTTTCCAAAATTCTAATTTTCACTTGTTTGTTCAAATTTCATCACTGGCAACAAAATATTGTCAGTTGTTTCCCTTGAAATGACAGTCTTATTTCATTCATTTTCAAGAAAATGTCTGTCAAACATTGTGAGAAAATGTCTGCCAAATCCGCATAACCATAGTTTGTCTGTCACCCAGTATTTCAAGTAAAAATGGTATTCTGTGAAAAAAGTGGCTAGTTCAGCTTGCAACTCAAAGAGTCGCACAAGAACATTCTTCAGGACAGCTTCAGATCTGACATACGGCAGAAGTTGTTTTATCATGTGTATGACTGGTGTCATCACAAAGAATATTCAAAAGGACAGTGAAAATTACAACATGGTTTGGTGCCTCTGCCTTGATTCATGCTAAAGAGCCAGAGTTTCACCGATCACCACTTTTGCACCATGACCATACATGCTCCTAGAATGAAAAAGGCTGTATACCTAACTCTGAATTGTACTCCACATCTTCATAATAAAAAGAAGGAAGGAAGGAGAAAGAAAAAGAAAGAAAGAGAGAGAGAGAGAGAGAGAGAGAGAGAGAGAGAGAGAAAGAAAGAAAAAGGCAAAAAGCATCCAAGTATGATTATAGAGAGTTTAGACCCCAGGACCCCTGAAAGGTTCTCAGGTACACCTAGAGGTCTATAAACCACATTTTGAGAAACATTAACTGAAGTCACCATATTTCTGACTTCTCCACTGTCCTCTGCTTAAGTCAAGTAACTGCATCGAGGTAGAAAAGGAACCCTGAAAGCTCAGGTCATGTCTCCAGAGATGAATCTGCTCCTCTTCCTTGACCACAGCTGTGATCGGCAGGGAATGGCAAGGAATGAAGACCAACCAAATGTATTCTCTTTTTCCCCCCACCGTCCTCTAAGGCAGCATTTCCCAACCCTCTTCATATCATGGCAGGAGGGGAAAACAGTATTTCTAGAAAAAGGGTGAAAGGACGAGGTTGCCTAAGGCTTGAAGCCCCTAGCCTGGAGGTCCAGACCCCATGCAGCCTTCAGGGGGACAGAGGGATCAGTAGTTATGGTCCTTCTCAGTGGGTAAGCCAAGGCACACGAGTTGGACATTTCTGTACTAAGGCTCTCAACACAGATGGAGGCGCTCAGGACTGGAGGATGTCTGTTCCCCAGCCAGCTTCATGCCCCATAAAAGTCTCAAAGCTCAGTTCACATGTGGCTTTCACAAGGTGTATGATCATACTTCAAAGCAGAATCCAAATTATATTAAAGATTTGAGGCAGAACTTGCCCAGAACATCTCAGATATAATGAGGAGATCGAAAGCACAGAATCTGACTGCCAAACTACCTAAGAGTTCAAGCCCTGGCTACTCCACTTACTAGCCATCTAATCTTGGGAAAATAACTGAACATTTTGGTATTTCTGCTTCTCCACCCATAAGATGGGAACAATAATAATGCCTACCTACTGTAAGTACCAGATGAGTGAATTTGTAAAAAGTGCTTAGAATGACACTTAATAATATGGTTACATTCGTTATTATTATTCTGCATGTGCTACAGGGTCTCCTAACTTGGACTGCTTCTCTGAGCATGACAGTGTTGAATGATAGATTTTTAAAAAAAGAGAATCTCAGAGGTACCCAGGGGCTGGATGTTAACCTGCAGGATTCTAGATCTGATGATTTGTGCTTGGAAATGAAGGCAAGAGGGATGGGTCTTTCTTCATTTTATTGACAGCATACGTCAGTAAGTTTCTATATTCTTTTTTCCTTGCAGGGTCCATGGCTCAAAAATGAAATTTACAGTCTGTCAACCCATCCACTCCTTGCCAGAGGTTTCTTCAGGATGGTGTCAAGTGTGGTGGTTGGGCAGATCTCAGACTTGAGGAGCTTCCCAGAAAACCAGGACAGGCAGTCCATGCCAGGACTGGCCCCAATGCACCAAATGCCTGCATCTTGAGTTGCATGTGTTTTTTCTTTACTGAATGGTTTTTGACAGCAATTTAGCCTGGTTCATAGGATCATTATAAAGTAGTTTTAGGCTACCTCTGAGAGTGAATGCTTTCAATGGTCTTCTTCATGCGAGTACTCAATGTCTGAATTACCACAGTTGCACGGTTGCAAAGAAATACACAACCATTATAACAAGAAAATGATGGCCAGGCGCACTGGCTCACGCCTATAATCCCAGCACTTTGGGAGGTAAGGTGAAAGGATTGCCTGAGCCCACTGGTTCGAGACCAGCCTGGGCAACATGGCGAGACCTCGTGTCTACAATAAATCAAAAAATCAGTCGGGCATGATGGCACATACCTGTGGTTCCAGCTACTTGGAAGGCTGAGGTGGAAGGATCACCTGAGCCCAGGAGATCGAGACTGCGGTGGCCGTGAGTATGCCACTGCACTCCAGCCTGGTGACAGAGTGAGACTCTGACTCAAAAACAAAACAAAACAAAAACAAAAACAAACGAACCAAGAAATAGTCACAGATGAACTGACCACTTATATGTAGCCCTTCTTCAAACATCCCTCACAGCTTTATACTGGGACCTGACCCCAGGCATTCTATCATTTTGTAGGTCACTCAGTGCTTGGCTGAGGTAGTAATCAGCCCACAGTTTTGGTGTAGGTAAGGAGTAAAATCCTTCATGCAAAGTCACTGACCAGTGAGGACCTGGCCAACTTGAAGAAAAATCAGCAAGGATAATGACACCATAAAACCTCAAAAGAGAATAATTGGCATATTCGTTAATTTAAAAAACATTTTGAGATCAGATTTTTTTTTTTTTTTGAGTAGGAGTCTCACTGTGTTGTCTAGGCTGGAGTGCAGTGGCACAATCATGGCCACCACAGCTTCAACCTGCTGGGTTCAGGTGATCCTTCCACCTCAGTCTTCCAAGTAGCTGGAACTATAAGTGCATGCCACCACACCTGGCTAATTTTTAAAATTTATTGTAGAGATGAGGTCTCGCCAAGTTGCCCAGGCTGGTCTTGAACCTCTGGACTCAGGCAATCCTCTTGCCTCTGTCTCCCAAAGTGCTGAGATTATAGGTGTGAGTCACTGTGCCCGGCTGAATTCCAGAGCTTTTAAGAGACAGAATTCACATTTCTAATGAATCTGCAATCAAGGTCTTTCTCACTTGTATAAATGTACAAGCATATATTTTTTCTCTGTTGAATATATTATTTATTACATAACATAGATGCCACAGTTACAGAAATTCACTGTAACAGATGGGCCATGAGGACAAGGAATGGAAATTCTTTTATGTCCCGCTTCCTTGGACAACAGTAGCATTAGTTCATCTTCCTTTTAGCCACGTACTAACCACACCCCCAAATTATTTTTTTAAAATCCCTTATATTTGACTTTTCTAAAATAGCCCTAAGACGGATCTAATTTTTGTGTCTAGCAACAGTTGACAGTTCTCTCTGCATTTCTAATTTTGCTTAAGAGCCCGTCTAAGGGCAAATCTTGTGCCAATATCTATAAAAAGTGCATGGCAAATACGGAAGAGCACTTCCTTTCATGAGACTCTGAAGTCCGTCCTGACTCTGAATGGTATCGTAGACTCTGAAACAGGCAGGGAGGAAAGCATGAAGTCTTTTAACATGTGAAAAGGCCAAGGAGTCTCGACGCGCCTGGATACTCACTCTCTCACACAGCTCTTCAAATGTGCAGTCGGCAACCGTTCCACAGGCTTTATTCAGCCGCAGCTCTCTGCCTTGCACTCTTAGAATCCTTGGTCTAGTTACTATGGGAACATGAACAAAGACTCAATCTTGTCTGGATAATTACTATAAAATTCATCTCTTACAGATAGGAAATGCATAGCTTGATGAATAATAGCACATGATTCAACACATAAATTAGACAAAATGCTGATACAATGACTGCCACTTGAGCGTGGCATCAACCCATATACAGCAATGGAACTTATTAATTGGTCAGTGGAGATTGGGCATTGTGTTCTAAATGTATTCTCTTTCAAGAGAAATTAACTTACGTACAATCATTTTGTTTCTGAGCCAGCTCATCAAACAACTTATCCATGACAGCCTCCACATCAGCTTCACTTGTGCTACAGTGAAAAGAATAATAGAATATGAAATTAATAACACTTGAAGCCAACATCAAACAGCTGCCTGAGTCTGCTTAGCTTTTTGCCCATAAAAAAAGAGAACAGGATGTTATGCTCTAAATACAAACATTAGATTTAGAATACACTTAAAAGCAGAGAATATTAACTCTCAGGTAGATGATTCTGCCTTATTTGCATACACTGAAAGACTTCTGTGCTTCTAGCTGTTTCCAGTAATGAGACGACACAGGCAGGGTAAATCCATTAATACCATGTGTACACAATGAGAAGAAAGCTTTTGGCTCTCCTTTGCATGCAAAACAAGAGCAAATAGACAAGGCAGTCAAACATCCAGCAAAGTATCCTTTGAAATCTCCACTGAGAGGGTACATGTGAAATTAAATATTGAAGCTGCATTAAAAAAAAATCAAGTCAAGCCGCTGACTGAGAGGATCAAACATCCAGAATTAAATCACTACCTTCGAGATACCAACTTGATCTGCACATCAATAACTTTATCGGACTTCTAGTGTAAGAACAATTATGGACCACACGGTTTCTCTCAAAAGTGTCCGTGTTGAAAATTCAAGAAAACTCCTTCTGTGATGCCCACTGTTACAGCTACTATGAAGTTAGTTCATCACACAATCTTTTGTATTCTAATTAGAAATCACCATATGGTTTAGGGAACTCACATATAGAAATGTGATAATGCTGTGGCCTTTTTTCTCTCACTTTTTTTTGAAAGAAGGGTTGATAAATTAACAGTCAATAAAATAAAATAACTGGCAGAAGGAATAAATTGTTAAAAAGAGCTTCAAGTAAAAAATGTAAGTTTGCGTCAACTCTACACACGAACTTTTATAGGATGACCTGCCAATATGCCAATATGCTTAATATGCTAAATCATTATCATCTAGTTGTGAAAGCAATTAAACTAAATTCTGAACATTCATCTTAATAAAATCTTATTCAAAATTAATACGACAGGCCCAGCATGGTGGCTTATGCCTGTAATTCCAGCACTTTGGGAGGCTGAGGCGGGAGGATCACTTGAGTCCAGGAATTCAAGACCAGCCTGGGCAACATAGCGAGACGCTGTCTCTTAAAAAAAAAAAGTATGACAGATTATCTTTTATTTAGATTAATCTTAAACTAAACAATTTCTCATCAGGTGGCAGGCATTTAAGACACAAGCACCTACTTCTTCAACTATTCTAGAGCAAATGCCTTTAGACTGCAACAAAGAACATAAGCATTATGAAGAGTTTGGAACTGTCACGTTCCAAGTCATAATCACTCCACCCCCAGGGGTTTTTTAAAACACCATTTGCAATGGTTAACTTTCCAGGAGAAACACTCCTTGACTTTCATAAAGCCGTATATGACATTCTAGCAGAGCTATATTAAAATAATAAAATGACACTATAGAAAGAGTGATTGTAGAGACAAAAAACAATTTTAAAAGTATAAAGAAATCACACAAGTCAACGCTCATGCCCAATACATGTCTGGCATCATTCTTGAGAATTCATTTGGAAGTGACTCCGCTTTCAAAGTACACAAGCAAAACTTGTTTGTTTGTTTCTTTTTAAGAGATGAGGTCTCATTATGTTGCCCAGGCTGATCTTGAACTCCTCTGGGCTCAAGCAATCCTCTCATCTTGGCCTCCCAAGGTTCTGGGATTACAGATGTGAGCTCACAAGTAGCTAAGTGAGCTACTTGTTTGTTTGTTTGTTTTTAGGAGTCGAAGTCTCACTGTGTTGCCCAGGCTGGTCTCGAATTCCTGGGCTCAAGCAATCCTCTTGCCTCGGCCTCCAAAGGTGTTGGGATTGCATTCGTGAGCCACTGTGCCCAGCCAACTGAGCTACCTTTTAAGAGATATAGAAAGAAGAAATCAGCACAGGACGTCTGCTGGCTTTGAGACAGCCTTTTCTTAGAATAAGCACACTACCCGATACTGAATTCTGAAAGACAACCAAGACAGGAGACAGTCTCCGATGGCCTATCTGATGAATAAACAATTGCTGTCAAACTTCCTCAGTGGTGGTTTATTTTTTACTCTGTGCTCTAATGCATCATATTATTAAAATGAGACTTACTGGAGAGTAGTCAGGCCACATATTCTAAGTAACCTGTGAAATTATGATACATGATTTCAAACAGAGTGAAATCACATGTGAAACTGCAAAATGTTTTTATTATAACAGTATCTTATAAGCATTCTATTACAAAAAGTTACTCAGAAATTGCAAAATGCAAAATAAAAATTTTTTTATTGGTGTTAAGTGGTTTATAAAGAAAAGCAGTTGATGAATCTTATAACTGTTATCCATTTAAGCCAACTTGCACTTAACCTCAGGGAGTAGGTCCTGTTGACCTCATGGGGACAGCATCCTTGTCTTAATATTGTCTGAAAGTAGGAGGGGCTAGTGTGTGCTTTTGGTTTTCTGCAACATAGTTAGATTGATGTAAAATAAATAAATAATGCTGTGAAAGGAATCCTGACCAGAAAGGAATATATTCATAAGCCTGTAACAGAAAACTTGTAAGAAAACTCTAGTCTTTTCACGTTCCACTCAGACTTCCAGTTTTCCTACTTAAGAGGATGCATTAATAAAAGTTCATTAAATTTTTCTTAAGGAGGAGAATTAGAAAAAACAGGTAAAGCAGCATGCAGTGGCTCATGCCTGTAATCCCAGCACTTTGGAGGCCAAGGCAGGAGGATTGCTTGAGTCTAAGAGTTTGAGACCAGCCTGGGCAACATAAGCAAGACACTGTCTCTATAAAAGAATACAAAAATTAGCTGGGCAGGGTAGTACATGTTTGTAATCTCTGCTACTCAGGAGGTTGAAGCAGGAGGATCACCTGAGCCTAGGAAGTCAAGCCTGCAATGAACCATGATTACACCACTGCACTCCAGACTGGGTGACAAAGTGAGAACCAGACTAAAAAAAAAAAAAAAGAAAGAAAGAAAGAAAAGAAAGAAAGAAAAAAGAAAGAAAAGAAAAGGCAGGGATTAAAACTTTCCTGTTTATATACACCTAAAAGATTCAGAGTCTGCCAGGCATGGTGGCTCATGCCTATAACCCCAGCACTTTGGGAGGCAGAGGTGAAACAACTGCCTCAGCTCAGGAGTTCAAGACCAGCCCGAGCAACATGGAGAGATCTTGTCTCTACAATAAATTATAAAATTAGTCAGGTGAGGTAGTGCATGCCTATAGTTTCAGTTACTTGGAAAGCTGAGGTGGAAGGATTGCCTGAGCCCAGCAGGTTGAGGCTACAGTGGCTGTGAGCATGCCACTGCACTTCAGCCTGGGCGATGGAGTGAGACTCCAACTCCAAAAAAAATTCAGTTTTATTTATTATCCATTTTCATATTTAGTTTAAACACCTTTGAGTATGTCTTGCAGTTCTAGTAAAAATTTTAGATGATTCAGAGCTATTTTAATGTGCCACATAGAGAACAGCAAAAGCCATCACTTGTTAAACGATTACATAGCAGTTAACTTACAAGTACTGCACCTACCTTACCATGTAGGTGTTATTATCCCATTTTTTACAGAAGAGAAAACTGAGACTCAGAGAATTCAGGTACTCATCTAATCTAAATACATTAAAATGTAGATTTTCTGTACAACATAAAGAAAATATATAAAGCAATGTCAAACTGGGAACAAAGTGGCAACAATTATGGCATACAATTAATATTTTCAATGTCTAGATAAATCACAACAGACAAAAAAGTTGAATACCTCGGTAGGAAAACTGTCAAAGGCCTTAAGCAGACAAACTGCATAAAAAATATAGCTCGATGGGCAAGAAGCATATATAAAATCGTTTCTTCTTCTTAGTAATAACAAATGCAAAGTAAAATCATAGATACTGTTCTTTTTTTTTTTTTTGAGTTGGTGTCTCACTCTGTTGCTAAGACTGGAGTGCACTGGCACACTCACGTCCTCCGCAGCCTCAACCTGCTGGGCTCAGGCGATCCTTCTGCCTCAGACTTCCAAGTAGCTGGAACCACAGGCACACGCCACTATGCCCAGCTAATTTTTTGATTTATTGTAGAAACAAGGTCTCGACAAGTTGCCTAGGCTGGTCTCCAACCCCTGGGCTCTAGAAATCCTCTTGCCTCTGTTTCTCAAAGTACTGGGATTACAGGCATGAACCACCGTGCCCAGTGAGATGCCATTCTTCTATTCAAACTGACAAAGTAAGGAAAAAGATGAATCACGCTAAGCAAGCCTAAATGTGATCAAAAAATTTATATACATGTATATATGTTTTTTAAGTTATATAATATGATGTTTTGATACACACAGTGAAACGATTACTATGGTCAGGCAAGTTGAGACATCGTTCAAGACAAGAGGTGACCTTTTGTGAGTGTGTGTGGTAAGAGCACCTAGAATCTATGCCCTTAGCAAATTTCCAGTATACAATACAATACTATGGGCTACACAGTCCCATGCTGTCCACTTGGTCCTTAGACTTCTTCACCCTCTACAACTGCAATGTGCCGACCAGTGACCAACCCACCTCTCCCCCTCCCTCCTCCTCATCCCACACCCACCCCCGGCAACCACCCCTCTACTCTTTGCTCCGACATACTCGACTTCTCTGTTTCTATGTATTTGACTTTTTCAAGAGTTCATCTATCTATAAGGGAGATCATGCAATATTTTTCTATTTGCTTCTGGCTTATTTTACTTAACATAATGTCCGTCAAATTTATCCATATTATCAGGAATGGCGGGATCTCCTTTTTTAAGGCTGAATAATATTTCAGAGTGTGTGTGTGTGTGTGTGTGTGTGTGTATGCAAGTCACAACTTATCCATTCATCTGTCTTAAGACTTATATTTTAAAATTTATTTTATTTTATTTTGAGTTGGAGTCTCACTCTGTCACCCAGACTGAAGTGGCACAATCATGGCCACCACAGCCTTGACCTGATGGGCTCAGGCGATCCTTCCACCCCAGTCTTCCAAGTAGCTG